GGGAATGTACAGGATTATGGACCAAAAACAATATGTAGCCAATTTTAATAATCCAGATAGAATACCATTTAGCCCTGAGATGTAAAAGAAACAATGTTTATTAGCAATCCCAACTATAAACAAATACATAGATTTGAATTATCATGATATGAATTACTTTGCCTCTCAGATTATTCTATATATTCAAACACCACCACATAGCCTAAGAGACACACTGTAATCAATTCAGCTTAAAATAAACACAAACTGGCAAAGAAACCCCTTCTGTTATTTTAGGGTTAAACCTAAACACACTTTTAAAACCATATATGTGACAATACTTTCTTTTATTCTTTGGTCACCCTCAAGGTTAGATTTAAGTGAATGTTTCGATTAAATTTAATGGAATTGAAAGAAATATTGACGATATATTTTCAAATGGTGTTAGTGGTCAAAAGGTGTATATATGTATAATTTATAGCTAAACTCTTTGAGATTTATTGTTTTCACAATCTTTGTCTGAACCTTCACAATGATCATAACACAAAATATTGAATAATTAAAATAGTCTCTTCTGTAATGTTTTGAAACTTCTGTTGTCAAAGGTTACATACATATCTTTTTGTCATGCCCTGTGGCTATATCCCTGGTAATTAAGAGAAAAATGTGTACCAAAGTGTACACTTATTCATCAACAGAGGGAGCCAACACAGCACTATGCAGTCTCAATCACATAGGTTTTATAATTTTATAACCCCAGATGGGTTTTACCTTCTGTGCTTTGAATCAATTGCTTTACAATATATAAGGTCATTGATTTCTTTTTCTTTTTAAAATAAGTATGTTTAACTTCCCTTTTCCACTTTATCTAATTAATTAAAAAAAACAGCAATAACAAAATCAATTTTTCTAAAAGATTGTAGTTTAGATTGGTTTCAAGTAGCCCTTAATTTTATTTACCACATTTTACAGTAGTAGATTAGTAGTATGAATTAAATCATATTGCAAACAAGTTGTAAAGATAGGGCATTGTGTCACATGGTTTCCCCTCAGAAACGAAAATGAATAAAACATCAAGTGGAACTGACGTGACATGTAATGTTTTCCAACCCAGTGCGGCTCATGTTCCAGACCAACTAAAAGAACGGCAAAGCCAGGGAGGGGGGGGGGGGAGAGAGAGAGAGACACATATTTATGTCTTTTACACTTTAAGCAATATGATCAAAGTGCTATTTCTTTCTTTTGTTGTTTTTTTCTTTCCAAAAATAGATAAATAAATAAAACTATATAATCACCTGATAAAAACTTGTGCAAATACCAGCTCGTCATTGACCACAGAACAAACAATATTATTAAAACACCAGCGCTGTTCAAAAGCGTCCAAATCCCCAATGTGTTTATAAAACCTAAACTCTAGCCAGAGCGTTGCCCTAATATTACACAGCCATTGTCAAGTCAAAGATGAATACTTAGGGTTTTAAGAAAAAGGAAACTTCACCATCACTTGTGCACAACCCCAAGAGGAGGACAACAGGTGCCTAATCAAGCTCAGCAGGTAAAAAGAGTTGTTCGAAACGCCACGGCAGGGGGGTATTCCAGAAAGGAGGTTCAACAAACTCTGGGGCCGTTTCTCAATACCTAAGACGGCGAGAACGGACTCGCGTTCCCGCGAGAATAGACTCGGGAGACAGACTCGGGAGTCCTGACTCACGGGTACGGGAGAACGGAGAACGGACATTTCCGCAATTGGAACAGCAGCTGACTTGATGACGTCACCACAGTAGGCGGTCTTTGTTTACGCACGCAAGTATCTCATCTGCCATCGCAGCTTGCTGAGGTGAAATGCATTCTGGGATATATGTCTCTCACAAGAACAGACGAGCCTGCTTCGATGCATGCCCGGTAAAATGGGCGGGGCGAGTCACATCCGGGTATTATGACCGTTCTCGGCCAGATGCGGACTTGAGAATTGGAACAGTACTCGGGCTGTGACTGATGACGTTTCACGAGTCCACGAGAACAAAAGTCCACACAAGAACGCATATTGAGAAACGGCTTGAGTCTATCCCTGAACTCCGAGTTCACTTACTCTGAGATGGTAAACCCTGATTCCAGAACAGCTGATCTGCATTAGTTCAATCAACTCTGAGTATGTTCACCTTGAGTTAAGCGTGTGCATGACGATTATAAAAAGCCATCATCAATGGAGCCCCGATACCACGAGTCACCACGACAACAGAAAATAAAAGAGCAACACTTACAGGCACATTTTTATTTTATACCTATCGAAGTCATTTAAAATATGACGCTACACCAACACTCATTAAAATACTAATTAAAAAACAAAGAAACATTGAGTTCTGCTCAGCCAACAGAAAGAAGGCAGAGGCCCGAAAAACAGGTCAGGGCCACCTCTGACAGAGGCGAAGGAGCTGGTCCTCAGCCAAAACAGTAGTCGACCGGTGGCTGAAGGAAACCCTGGGGGAAGCTCATTCGAGCCCGTCACCCCCCCAGGAGGGGGGGTGCCTACATCAGATGCAAGTATACACTTCTTTTAAAAAAATAAAACTAATATATACACTAACGTTCAAAAGTTTGGGGTCACCCGGATAATTTTGTGTTTGCCATTAAAACTCACACTTTTATTTATCAAATGAGTTAGAAAAGTAAAGAGAAAATATAGTCAAGACATTGACAAGATTAGAAATTATTTCTTATTTAAAATATTCATTTTGTTATTCAAACTTTGGTTTCGTCAAAGAATGCTCCGTTTGCAGCAATTACAGCATTGCAGACCTTTGGCATTCTAGCTGTTCATTTGTTGAGGTAATCTTTGGAAATGGAGACAATTAGCAAACACAATGTGCCATTAGAAGACTGGAGTGATAGTTGCTGGAAATGGGCCTCTATACACCGATGTAGATATTTCATTAAAAACGATGTTTCCACCTAGAATAGTCATTTACCACATTATCAATGTAAAGAGTGTATTTCTGATTAATTTAATGTTATCTTCATTGAAGAAAAGGTGCTATTCTTTGAAAAATAAGGACATTTATAAGTGACCCCAAACTTTTGAACGGTAGTGTGTGTGTGTGTGTGTGTGTGTGTGTATGTATATATATATATATATATATATATATATATATATATATATATATCCACCCACCCACCCAACAGTTGTGGATGGTGTCCACATCTCCACAGTTGTAAACCCTGCAGACACTCCATGCAGACATGTAGACTGAAGTGATGAGCATAGATAATGGACAACTAGCACATTCTTGTCCTTGAACAGAACATGGTTGGGCATCACCAACCCACTGCACAGCTTCGACAGTAAGATTTTCGGTCAATACCATGTTAAATCTGTATGTGGAACTGTAGGAATTAAATGTCGTCCAAATATTTCCTAGTTACCAGTAAAGCGGTAGCGTTCTAACAGAAATTCCTCTGGAAATGCTAAAACGTCTAATCTGGGTCAGGAATCAGGATCAGTAATCAGGAAACATTTCTTGCCAAAATATGTCAAACATACAAGGAATTTGTCTTGGCGGTTGGTGCGTGGCAGTAGACAGTGTAACAATAGACAAGACAGCAGTGCTAATGCTAATGCAATGGGTTAGTAGAATAAGGCTACGGGTTAGTATAAAATAAGAGAATAAAGTTAAAGTTAAAAATTAAAAATATTTTAAAAGTTACAAGTATTAAAAAATAAAGTGCACTATCGAACAAGTGACAAAGTGACGAGTGACAACAAAGTAACGAGTGAAAAATTACCGTTAAAGTGGCATGTGCAGTATGAAGCAGAGTGACCGGTGGAATGTCATAATAGACAGTGGGGGACCGGGCTCAGTTGATGAGCCCGACTGCCGACGGGAAGAAACTGTTGGTGTGGCATGAGGTCTTAGTCTTTATGGACCTCAGCCTCCTCCCAGATGGAAGGGGCACAAACAGTTTTTGTCCGGGGTGAGCGGGGTCGGCTACAATCTTTTTAGCTCGCTTCAGAGACCTGGAAGCGAACAAGTCCTGCAGGGACGACAGATTGCAGCCAATCACCCTCTCTGCAGAGCGGATGACTCGCTGCAGCCTGCCCTTGTCCTTGGCTGTGGCTGCAGCGTACCAGACGGTGATGGAGGAGCAGAGGATGGACTCAATAATGGCCGTGTAGAAGTGAACCATCATCATCTTTGGCAGGTTGAATTTCTTCAGCTGCCTCAGGAAGAACAACATCTGCTAAGCCCTCTTGGTGATAGACCTGATGTTCAGCTCCCACTTGAGGTCCTGGGTAATGATGGAGCCCAGGAAACGGAAGGAATCCACAATAGTGACGGGGGAGTCACACAGGGTAATGGGGGAAGGTGGGGCTCTGTTCCTCCGGAAATCCACAACTATCTCCACTGTCTTTAGAGCGTTGAGCTCCAGGTTGTTCTGGCTGCACCACAACACCAGATGGTCAGACTCACCTGTAGGCGGACTCATCCCCACCAGAGATCAGTCCAATGAGGGTGGTGTCATCCGCAAACTTCAGGAGCTTGACGGACTGGTGACTGGAGGCGCAGCTGTTGGTGTACAGGGAGAAGAGCAGGGGGGAAAGAACGCAGCCTTGGGGGGAACCGGTGCTGATGGTCCGAGAGGCTGAGACATGTTTCCCCAGCTTCACGTGCTGCTTCCTGTCAGACAGGAAGTCTGTGATCCACTTGCAGGTGGAGTCGGGCACGTGCAGCTGGGAGAGTTTGTCCTGCAGCAGAGATGGGATGATGGTGTTGAAGGCAGAGCTTAAGTCCACAAACAGGATCCTGGCGTAGGTTCCTGGGGAGTCCAGATGCTGGAGGATGTAGCGGAGGGCCATGTTGACAGCGTCGTCCACAGGCGTGTTGGCTCTGTAGGCAAACTGCAGGGGGTCCAGGAGGGGGTCGGTAAGGGACTTCAGGTGGGACGGGACTAGCCGTTCAAAAGACTTCTGGCGCGTTTCCACCGAGCGGTACGGTACGGTACGGGTCGGTACCCTTTTATTTGTGTCTCCACTGCCAAAAGTTGAGAATAGTACCAAAAATCCATACCGTACCACTTCTTGGGACCCTTCCGTTAGGGTACCTGGCACAGTTGTTTGGTACTAAAGGGTGGAGCTAGACTCACTGCAGAACGTTGATTGGTTGAAAGAGTGTCGTCATTTGTGCATGCCGCGAGGGGAAAAAAGACAACACACGAGGCGCCATTTTTAAACTACAACACCGTCGCAGCAATGTCGCCGCGCAGCATTACTTTACCGTGGTCAACCCAGGAGGTGCAGACCTTCTTGGGTATCATCGGTGAAGAAAGGGTGCAAAGGGAACTCTATGGCATGGTGAGAAACGAAAATGTTTTTCAGCATGTTTCAGAGAGGATGGCTGTCGAGGGTTACCAGCGGACATCCGAGCAGTGCTGCATTAAATGCAAGAATCTGCGGAGTGACTACCGTAAGGTGAAAGACCACAACAGCCGGAGTGGTGTTCACAGAAAAATTGGAAGTGGCTAGATATGATGGACTTAATCTACGGACACAGACCGGCGAGTTTGGGACGAGAAGGAGGCATCGATAGGGCCACCTCGTTGCTGGAGTCGACGATGGAGCCTCCCGGTAAGTTTTTAATTGTGAAATATAGTAAGATCACGAGAAAGTGTACTTTCAATGCACAACTTTTGTGCAAGTCTGTTGTTTGTCTGTCAGCCAGCCAGTGTGCTATCAACCAATAATTTGCAAGCTAGCAAAACGCTAGTTTATTAGCACGTTGTGCACGGAGTGCATGTCCAGTAACGTTACTTGTACTTCTACTAAATATATATTAAAGAGAGATGTGTGTCCTATAAAATCTCCTATAAAATTATAGATACTTGAAAAAATACTTATGTACATTGTACAATGTAAAAATGCTTTGTTTGGCTATGCACTTGACTAGTTTGGCTAGACCTACTACGTTGTATGTTCTGTATTTATCTCAACCGCATTGTTGCCGTTTGTGTAATTAACGTGACTTGTGTAACTTTTCAGTTGAGCATCCTAGCTGTCGGGAGGAAATGGAACCCCAATTTCCACCCTTGAAAGCGCAAGTTCCCCTGCCAGGACTTCAACACCACCAGAATCTTCTCCATCAACTGGGAGTGAACCTCGGCGTATTACAATTGGTAAGACATTAACACCAGAGTGAAAAGAAATTTAATAAATATTTATTATATTATTATATATTGTTGTTGTTGCGGCCCAGGCTGAGATGCAGGAGTGGCTGGAAAAGATGGAGACCGCTGTGACCGGCGCTTCTAACTTATGATGGAGGATGCCCGTGAGGCAAGGCGGCATGAGGCTGATATAACTCGCCTACATATGGAGCAGTCTGCGAACTTTAATCAGGCCTTCCTCGGAACGCTCACTCAGCTGGTACTGGTGCACCCCAACTCTGTGCTATGATCCAGCCACTAGTGCTCTTTTGCACACAGCACTTTAGACTAGTTTACTTTTTTGGACTGGTTTACACTTGTTTACTTTGTTTGCACTCGTTTACTTTTGTTTGCAATTTCTTTGACTTCAAATTAAAGTACTTTTTTATTACCTCTTGTGTCCTGTGTTCAATGGCCATCTCCCACAATTCCTCCCTTATCCATTCTATAAATTGAGGTCATTTTATTTATGTTCCTGTCATCTGTCAATTGTTTGCTAACGTGGCCATTTGGGAGATTATGCTTGCCTTAAATACAAAAGTCTGTAATGTTACTTTACATTTACAATAGCTGATCTTCCAAGGTTTTACCCTAATCATATGATTTTTAAAGTAACCTATTGCAAACAAAAATCTGAATTTAATTATTTAGTTTTTACATATTATAAATTGTTCTCCTAATTACACGTACATAATTTATAAGTACACTAAAATTACCAAAGGGTATGCTGTAAATTGTGTACTTGCACAGTATTATGTACAGCGTTACCAGATTGTCCCTTTGATATAGCTACCCAAAATGAATTATACCTCATGTTTAAACACATCTACATAAGATGCAGCGGCAAAAATATTTTACAAAATATGAAGAGGCAGGGTAAAAGTAAAAAGGATTTATTCATTTTCAATAAAATCAAAACTTCACATTTATAGGTGTACAACAGATTTAACTGTTCACATAACGCATTAGACCCTCGCGTACATCCCTGCCCTCCTCCTCTGCGCCCTGTGCCTGTGTAACCACAGGCTCCGCAGCAACAGGTGTATCTCATTCGTGCTGGTAATCCTCTCGATGCCTTTCACAAAGATTGTGCAGAGCACAACAAGTCAACACCATGGACTTCACCAATTCGATGTCGCTGTCATTCCTCTTCATAAGGCACCGCCACCTTCCTTTGAGTCTCTTAAAAGCATTTTCCACCACCACCCGAGCCCTGCACACTTTTTTGTTGTAGGTCAGTTGTTCTGCTGTCAGCCGGCCATTGTCAGGGAATGGTTTTAGGAGCCAATAACAGATTTATTATCTAGAAAACACAAAGCAATGTTAAGGTTAAAACAATGTCACAGTGACGGTGGGTGTGTTCAAGTCATTTAATTATTAGGGCAACTATCATACGCCAGATGAAAAAATACATAAAGCATTATATAAAGTATTATAAACATTGTAAGTGTTACCCTTGGACACGAAAGAATATATAAATGTGTTAAAATATCTAATATACTGCACCAGAGAGGGAACTTTGGTGTCATTAAAGCACAAAGAAAAACTAGCTTAAAGATATAACTATTTTCTCAAAATAATCAATCATTAACCACAAACAGTTTTGCACTTGAAATAATATTAGGAATCAACACATTCATGTGAGAGTTTAATAATCTTAAGTAACCTTCATAGTGCGTAAATGATGAACAGACTGTAGTTTACAGTTAGCACAGTTAAAATCTGGTTTCACAGGCAGGGCTTATTGTGCTTTTTTTTTTAGTTTAGGATTATTTAATTTATAAGAATATAGTTAGCACATAAGACGAAATACATTAATACATGACATGAAAAAGATAGCTTAGCTCAAACTTACCCTCTTGCGCCGTCGTGTTTGTCTTGCCTTGTCTTGACTCACGCGGTGGTCTATCTCCCAGCTCCTTAAAACTTACAGAATTCGCCTGTATTTTTCCGCTGTGTTTTTCCTTGCAGCATGTAGCCTGCATGTAGACAAAGATTGTCGTCTCCTTGTGACAAACAGCCAAATATCGAGAAGCAAGAACAGGATCGGCTGTATGTCCTCCATTGTTGTTTGCGGTTAGCTTTCAGTTTTCGCGCGATCGAATGACGTCAATCTACTTTCCGTCATATACCACGCCTATCAAGTAAGGGTACTGTTGGCGGTGGAAACGCTCGCCAAATCATGGTTAACAGACCCGACCCGTACCGACCCGACCCATACCGTACCATACCGCTCGGTGGAAACGCACCTTTCATGACTATAGAGGTCAGGACGACGGGCCTGTAGTCATTGAGTCCTGTGATCCTGGGCTTCTTGGGAACAGGGATGATGGTGGAGCCGGTTAACGTCTCTCTCCAGAATAGAGAGGGTCGTTGCTGGTGGGGGAGGGGAAGGTGATAAAGATGTAGAGGTGTGAGCCCCTGATGGGCTGGGGGAGGGAAGGGAAGGGGACAGGCGCAGGTTGGTGGAGCTGTGGGGGATGGGATCAGGATATTGTCTTTCGAATATGCAGTAGAACTCGTTCAGCTCGTCTGCCAGGCGGAGGTCATTCATGGAGTGGGGGGGTTTTGGCTTGTAGTTAGTGAGGTGTTTGAGGCCTCTCCAAACCGAAGCAGAGTCACTTGCTGAGAACTGTTGTTGGAGTTTCTCAGAGTACAGTCGTTTAGCATCTCTCACCGCCTTGCTAAACTTGTATTTTGTCGGAAGACTCTCTCACGACGTAAAGCATTTCGAATAACTAAGGCTTCGATGTCAATTGGATTTGGTAGGAATAGGCAATCCATGTCTACCAGCTTTCTTCATGTGGGAGGAGACGGGTAGAAACTCTGGGTTTCATATAGTTAACCTGCCAGCGAGAAGGTTATGTTCAGAGTCTGTTAACATTGTGATTGACCTCAACGTTTCAGTTACTTCTCTATCTGGAACAGATAACTCAGTTTCCCTGATCTCAGGGTTAACTCACGCTGGGTTTTCACATAACCCGCTTTCTGGAATACCCCCCAGATGGACTGAATTACCTATTTTTGCTTCTGTGCTGTTGCTGGGGACCTATGTGTGTTCTATGTTTCTGTCTTGTTTTTGAATGTTTTTTACCTGATTGCCTGGCTGATTGCCTGAGATAATCACAAATGAAGTGACCAAATGCTGCTAACCTGAAAATAAAAATAAAAGAAGTGAAATGTAGCTACTGGGTCGTCGTGGCGCAGGGGGTAGAGAGGGTGTGCTGGGAACCACAAGGTTGGTGGTTTGAGTTCCGGCTGCCCCATGTCCCATGTCGAAGTGTCCCTGAGCAAGACACCTAACCCCTAAGTGCTCCGATCAGAGCCATGGGTTAAAAATGTAATGTAAGTCGCTTTGGACAAAAGCATCAGCTAAATGACCTGTAATGTAATGTAATGTACTGCCTGGGACTCAGTCATTAAATCGGTCCGCAATTTGAGTGGAATCCAGTAACGTAAATCTCCACATTCAATTTGTCTTTCAAGTTGGGGAAAAGTGCAACAAAGTAGGAAGACTCCGGTAACTTGACAGCCATATTACCTTGGCCTCCTGCCCCTCTCTGTTCTCAACTGTTTATCCTGCCTAAATAAATTGCCATTTTGGCGCCTCTGCACAGAAAGTTAACGAGCTGCCATTTTTTCTTTTTCCGTTTTTCTTTTCTCTAGGCAGCTCCCATGATAAAAACCCTTTCTGTAAAAAACACTTATCTAAAAAGACAAAAAAACAATGTTAAAAGAGAGAAGAACTTTGTGAGTCGCTTACACTCAGTAAAAACATGATAAATAGTCCCTGAGCTCACAGAAAGGGCACTGGCTAATAACAGAGGGATTAAGAACAGAGATAAAAGCAAAATTCTTCACTGGAGGTCGGCAGTCAATTCTGTTGAGGAGAGGTTTGTATAAAATCCTGGGGAGCCTGATGCACAGTCCAGTTCTGTTTGTGACCTTCACGCAGTTAAAATACCATGTCTTTTTGCCTGCTTCATGCAAAGTCAGTTGCTCTGGGCGTGTTGTGTCTAGCAAGGGGCCGGTAAGGTCCCCTAGCCCCGGGCTCAGCTAGATTTCTGGAAAAGGGTCTGCAGGGTCCGGCTCCATCTTCTTCTGGCTATATTCCATGAGGAGGCACCTCTCTTCCCCAGTCAGCCTCTGGCTCCAGAGCTCCAGGAGCCTCCTCCTCCTGCAGCTTGGTCCTGCAAATCAATCAGTGTGTTTACATGATGGTATAATTCGAATCTTTGCTTAGTCGGACTATGCTATCTTTCGGGGCAAGTGCTATTATCCCAATATAGCAGTGAATAAATCGAATCATAGTCCGAAAGCATTTCATATCCGATACAATAGGTGCCGCTGTTTTCATTACAACTAGTTGTGATACAGCCATTTCCGCTTCACCGCTTCACCACTACCAACAACAACAACATCAACATTACGAGAAAGATCAAGAGCACGGTGAAGCTACAACCCTCTACTATTTTTGCATAATGTTAATAGGAGTACAGCGAATGCGAATGGCGCTATTGGCTGATTTGATAACGGAGAGAAGACGCCGTCGGGATCTCAAGCATGCGCAAAGACGCAAAGTCCAGTTCCTTATCCGATTCACCGTTACATGCCGCAATAGTCGAAATATGAACTGGATCGGATCGAGTTATCCAGGGGTGTTAGTCGGATCGTAGTCGGACCGCACATAGTCGGACAAAGGTGTTTACATAAAACGGATAATTCGATTTCAGTCCGACTAAGCCAGTTATTTGAATCCATGTAACCACGCTGACTGGCTCTCTCAACAACCAGTACAAAGAGTTAGACAGTGGACACCTTTTTTGAATAAAAAGAGCCCAAGACTGATACATCCTGATAAAACGGAGGCAGCCCTTTTACATTTAAAAGATCCATTAAAAACAGCAGTATCCAGCCCCATGTTGTCTGTACGTCTGAGGATTCAACTGACCACATCTCGCCACACTAAACCCTCCGGATATGTGAGGTATTTTTTCAAAAACTGTAACCTGAAAGTGGCCGCACGGTTGGCCAAGTGGACGAGGCCCTGTCCCCCCTCCTCTCTGGCAAAAAACAGCACCATTTGTGGCACCCAGTGTAGACCCTCCCAAAAGAAATCCACCATCTTTCTCTGTATGTGGGCTAGAAAACCAGAGGGAGGGTCAAGACAAGTTAAGCAGTGCCACATTTGGGATGTGATTGTTTAAAACCAACACTCTACCTTTAAAAGACATCTGAGGGAGCAGCCATTTACATTTGGAAAGTTTTCCCTCGATCTTCTCTGTGACGCCCTCCCAGTTCTTTTGGACCATGTCGCTTTGTCCCAGATAAATCCCCAGGTACTTAAAACCGTCTTTTCTCCACACTCTTGGGGAAGAACTGGAAGACTGTCACGCTATTCCCCGACAGCGAGGGCTTCACTTTTCTTCCAGTTCACCCTCGCTGCCGATGCTGTGCTAAAATCCTCCACAAAGCGATTTAAAAGGTCTGCATCCCTCTGGTTCTTAATAAAAACAACCTCATCATCTGCATAAGCTGAAAAAATCTTGTTTCTACTGAAACCAAGCCCTCCAGGCTAGAGCATATTCTGATGAGAAAGTGTTCCAGGGAGAGTGCATAGAGCATCCCGGACAGAGCACAGCCCTGCCGGACCCCTCTACGCACCCTAAAAGGAGCACACAGACTACCGTTTATCTTCAGCACACTCTCAACCTCACTGTACAACACTTTGATCATGGCTATGAAACCAGCGCTGAACCCAAACTTCCCCATGACCTTCCAGAGGAAGTTGTGTTCAACGCGGTCAAAAGCCTTTTCCCGTTCTAGAGAAATCAGACCAGGTTCCCCTTTTTTGGCAGTAGGGCTATAACAGCTCTGCGGCACGACATCGGCATGGAACCCGATGCCAGACTTTTATTAAAAACCTCCAGTATGTCAGGTTCAAATATTTCCCAGAATGCTTTATGAAAATTCTGCAGGGAGGCCGTCGATGCTGAGAGCCCGCCGTGCCTGCATGCCCTACAAGGCGGCCTTCAGCTCCTGCACGATTATAGGCCTGTCGAGCGCTTGGTTTGTCTCCTCAAAGACTAGAGGTAGTTCACTCATGAACTCCTCTGTCAGTGCTTCCTCCTCCCTGTACTCGCTGGTGTAGAGGGAAGAGTAAAAGCTGACCGCTCGCTTCCTTATCTGGCATGGCAACCCTGTGTCTGCCAGCAGTGCGTGGATCACCCTTCTCTGCCAACTCTTACTCTCCAGGCCGAAGAAGAAGCTAGAGGGAGTGTCCATCTCCGTGATGGTCTGGAATCGGGACCTGACCAGTGCACCCTGAACTTTAACGTCCAACAGTTCGGCCAGAGCCATTTTTTTAATCTTGAGGACTTCAACATGTCCTCGCTCTTCTGTGGACTCGCTTAAACGCTCTGGTTTGACTATATCAGTCTCCAGGTCCTTCATAGATCTGCTGATGTCTCTGGTGACTTGAAAGTGTGGTGCTGACAAAGAAGCTAATTCTCAATCTTACCTTGGTCCCACCACTACTAGCTAGCCATAGGTTTAAAGTGTAATGTAAGTCGCTTTGGATAAAAGCGTCTGCTAAATGACCTGTAATGTAATGTAATGTAATAACTACGAAAATCACTCTTCCTCAGCCTAAAAACACTCCAGAAATATAAAAGGACCTCTCTAAAATTCTTAGCAAAGGTTAAAACTGAGTTAAAATGCCAGTATGCGCTTTTTGGCTAAATATTCCTAACAAAAACATTACACACCAGCAGGGAATGATCTGTGAAAACATGGTACACATTTTAAAAACATAAAAATGGTGCTTAAATCTACGGTCCACTACGATTACCGAAGGGGGGCGTTTTTTGACAACGTTTTATCTCATAATTTCGACTTTCTATCCCCTTTCTTTAGTGCGGAAATGGGCTTCTATAGTTGTGTGAATACATCACTCCAGCCAATCCAAAGACGGGGTTTGTAACCAATCAGATGTAGATACTGTCAGGATCTCCAATCCCCCCGAGTTGGTTGATGAGAAGAATCGCAGCACGTTGATCAATTCAAGTCAAAAAGTTAACATTTATTTAGAAAAGAAAAAGATTACATGAGCAATTCTCCGCAGATATCTGGCTCTAACTATTGCTTGCAAGCAGGAGGTCCAACACACCAGCACGTATCTCAGCGCTCGGTGTAATGAGGTCTCCGAGCAGTGAAAACGCTGAGTTTTTGAAGGACATTCTCCGTGCCAGTTACGAGAAGCTACAAAGCAAGAACCCAGGTGAAGCTGAGGGTAGCTCCTCAGTGGCCGGTGCAAATCATAATTAATTGATATAAAGTAAAAAATGTGGATCCGGAACTTTCGTACCGAA